CACGCCCACCTGACGGCAATGGCGGCGCAGATGCGAGCCTCGCCCTATGGCGCCTACAAGGCCGTGGCGGCGCACTACGGCTGGTGGATGCAGCTGCCGCACGCGCGCTTCCGCGCCCTCGTCGACGATGCCGCCGACGACGACGACAACAACAACAAAAACAACAAAAACAACAACAAACACGTCTTTGCGCTGCTGGCGTCCCACTGGGTCGCCGTCAAGATGGTGCTGCGGCCCGTCACCGAGGTTGAGATGCGCGTGTCGGCCGCCAAGCAGCAGCTCCAGCAGCAGCAGCGGCAGCGCCGGGGGGACGGGCTCGAGGGCGGCATGGCGAGGTGGCTGTGCCACCTCAACGCGCAGGTGCCGTCAGAGTACGCGGCGTACAACCGCTGGCCCGTCTGGGTGCAGGAGCAGATGGCGCGCGACCCGGGGTTTTTCGGGACGGCGGGTGGTGGTGGTGGTGGTGATGGTGGCGAGTGAGCGGGTGGATGTGGGTGAGGTGAGGTCAGGTCTTGGATACATATATTACGCAGAGAGGGAGCCTCCCACCCGGGACATGGAAAGCTTGTCATGGCCCAAGATGGATCAAGATCCCAGGCAAAGCAAAGATGCAACAAGGTCACGTGTGTCCTTGGGCTAACCTCGCCTCTCGCGAGCCCTGTGCCACGCCAACCAACACCTTCACATTGTGGGTGCGCGTCCCGGTACGTTGTGTGCTCACGGCCTTGAGTTCCGTGAGTTCCGTCCCCATCAGCCACGCTCGGAAGCGTCGCGGGGCGTCAAAGCAAGGGACTAGTCAGAGCCTCCCCAAGGTGGCGGCAAATCGGAAACGACCAAGCCGAGGCTGGCGCAGGCCGAGGACACAGAGCAACCGCCTGCTCATTTGTGTATCGACTGCAGTCAGACTCCAACAGCTCCCACGGGAAGGGTCATGAGCTGATTGGAATCCACCAACTGATGTCGATTTAGAACCAGTAAGCCCCACGCGACCGGTCCTATCAGCGATTTTAAATTTTGTTCTGGAAAAAGAGTAGACAAACGAGTGAGATTCAATATCCGAGTTTATTTTGTGATTATATCCAAGTGCAGAATGACAGTCCGATTTAGGAACAAAATATTGCAATCGAGGCTGCCTGAAAGCCTTAGCTCTAGTCCACATTCCCTTCCCTAGATTCCATGCCTGTCTTGCTTGTTCTTTATTTAGGCATAATTATTGGTCGGTTTCAAGGGTTCCGAAGCGGGTTCACTTTGACCCCAAAATAATCGATCCCCCCGCTCTGGGCGGCCCGAGGTAACCATCGCACCACAGATGGGGTTTACCGCAGTGAGCGGAAACGTCTTCTGGGCGAGGATGATGAGGATGTGTTGGAGATACAGAAACTAGATGGACGGGGGACGAGAAGACGAGAAGACGAGAGTGCCGGCCGCTGCAGCAGGTGTGGTGGCACAACTCTGGAGAGTGCGGGAGAAGAGAAAGGGGCCGGAGAAAGGGGGCCGGACCAACTCCCTGCTTAGCCTGATTCTTCGCTGCACCGTACATGTCGGCCGTGCGAAGACTACCCGACTTGCTTTCCCGGATGTTGACGACGGCGTGGTTGGGTTTGTCTTGGCAGTATCGATGCCTGCTTGCCTTTCTTTTGCAGACATGCTTTTGCAGAGAGCCCCAGTAATGATGTCGAGCCGGCCAGGGCAGGAGAACAGTCCAGAAGCAGCAGCCACAACTTGCCGGGGGACACCCAATCTCCTCTTGTGATTTATTGACGCACGTCTTGGCCGCCGCTTGTCCGTACTGTACCATCGTAACCAGGACGCACAGGACAGCTGGCCGTCAGGGCTATCAAATGCTGTGGCTGGCTACAGCAGGGCGGCGCGTCACCCGTCGTCGTCCTTGTCGCCATCGCAATTTCGCCGACGGGCAGCGACATGGAAAAGCCGGGGCATGCGTTGTGTGCGCCGCCAGTGTTTTGCTGTCAGGTCGACGCCGCCCGAGACACGCCCTCCAATATCCGCTCCTTTCTTTTTTTTCTTGCTGTTATTCATTGCTTCTGGGTGGCTCACCTGTCCCATGAAACATAGCTCGACCGATAGTCTGGCCCCTAGCGTCCCACGAAAAGGGCGACGTCCAGCAGGGTGGTTGGAACCAAAGGCAGTAAAAAAACCGCACACGCTAGAGGAAGCCCCTGCACTCGGCCGTCCCGCCCAAGCCATTCGCAATTGCCTCTTTCGCCCGGCGGATGCGGCACCTGTAGACCCGCGGTGGCGGGAGGTAATTTCGCTTCGCCTCGCTGCAGCTTCCGTGAACTCAGGCAGGGCTCCCAGGTGCCGGGGAAAGGAGGGGTTGGGCCGGGCTGGGTGAGGCCTTTTTTTCTCTCCCCCAGGGTGTTTACCAGAGGTTTACACAGACCATGTCAAAGCGGCCCTCTGTCCCAATCGGACCCCCTGCTTCACAGGTTGGCAAACACGATGCCAAGACTGAAACCCACGAGGGGTCGGACACGCGGGGACGGGGGGCGGTGCCAGAACACGGTACTGGGCCCAGGGTCGAGATCGAATCGGACCTGTCTGCGCTGATCCGCGGTGCGATGTGCTATTCAATGTGCTATTCCCAGCTGGTAGTGAGTGCGACCTACTGTGCTCCTGTGCCTGGAGTTTAGAATAGGACATGTATGTGATCAGCAGCGCCTCTTCGGCACAGGGCGGCGGATTGAATGCAGCTTTCGGCGACTGCTCTGGGCTCTCACGCTCTTTTCTTTTTTAGTACCTCACCGGCAGGTTTTCTGTGCCTGTGCCTGGTGCCTGCAGCAAGGGTGGTGGGGCCAAGGCCCGGCGAGACCAGTCAGCGAGTGGCACAGGCGCCGACCTGCATCGGTTTTTTTTTTTGTTCTTTCGTTCCTTTCTCCCCTCCCTCGCCGCCAGGAATGAATCCCCGACCGCCGTGCGCCAGGGCGCCAACTGAATCAGCAGCGTCGTGGTGCGCTGCCTTTTTTTGGTCTCTGCCCTGTCACTGTCCCTCCCGGTAGCCAGGATTCGTGTCTTTGCGCGCGCCAGCAATCGTCCCTCCCAGCCAACCACCAAAACTCAGTGGCCTATGCTCTCTTGGCATCCACCACCCGCCGACTTCGTCTGATGTTGGTCACCTTTCGTCTGAACGGGCCAGAGCTCGTATCTGCCATTGGCGGTCCACCGGCTCTGCTGCTTAACAGAACGAGCATGACGCGGCTGGCTGGGGAAAGCGGTAGGCTGAGAATGGCGTGACGAGAAGCAGGCGATGGAAGTGGGCAGAGTTGATAGAATTTTGTCAAGGAATAGACTTGCTCCCTTTCTGCGCCTGTGCCCTTTGTTTGCCTTTGACCTCCTCACCCTTGCCCATTGACTTGGCGTTTGTTTCCGTCCGAACGCGGGGCCAGTCAGTGCAGCGCAGCGGCTGGCTGGGCCCCACCGCCGTCCTGTGTGTAAGCTGATTGATCTGTGTCTGGCCAAAAGTGCTGGCTTCCACGATTGGCTCGGAATCTGGCATCTGGCCGCTTTGATTGGCCGGGTCTTGTCGTGGTACCTGCATCCACTTGCCTGTTTTGTCCAACCCCGGCCGTTGCAGCCGTGCCGCCCTGGATTTCTCGGCTGACTGAACTGACTGCAACTGCAACCGCCCCCTCCCCCTGGGCTGAAGTGGAAGGGGGTGACGGGGTTCCTTCCCCTGCAGCAGGCAGTTCCTGCCCCTGCCGTCTGTTCCCCCTCCGTCCCTCTCCGCCGGTGGACCCACGCCCTGCATCCCACATCCCACATGGGCCGAAGGGTGGAAGGATCGATCCTGCCCGACCTTCTTTTAAGGGCAGCCCACCTGCCCTTGTCGCAGCCCAGGTTGTCCATCTTCCACAACCATCCCGCCCTTGCCTTTTCTCCTTCCCTCACGGTCGCCAGTCTCGACCACGCGTCAATACGGCCTCCTCGACCCTGTGTCGGTCCCTGTCGTCAAGCACGCACCACTCCTTTCGCGTCTTTGATAGATCGCCGCTCTTTTTTCCCCTTGCATCCAGCCGACTCCCTTGACTCTCAGTCACTGTTTTCCCGGCCTGGTATCACCCGCACCGAATCCATATTTAGAAGTCCTTCGAGACTCTTTCCGTGGCCCGTCTCCTTCACATTCCTTTCACTTCAGCACTCACTCAAGGATCTGCGCTGGCACCGCACCACCCTCCTTGACAACCCTCAAAGCGAACAAAGAAAGCGACAAAGCAACCAGTCCGCCGCCGCCACCAGACCGCATCCGCTCCAATACATCGGTGCGATAAGTACCGGGCGAGTCCGCATCGAGCAGGGTCCATCGTTGCTTCCGGAATTTTGATCGACTTTCTCCTCAAAACACACATCACAATGCTTCGCAAGATGCAACTTTTCGCCTCGGCCCTGCTGGCCTCGGAGGCTGCCGCTCTCGTCGCCCACCACAGGCACGGCCACCAGCCCTACAAGCGGGACCTCGTCTACGCCCACACTGAGGTTGTTGTCGAGACCACCTGGGTGACCAAGACGGTCTACGACGACGACCCGGTTCCAACCACCACCCCCTCGGTCTTCAAGGCTGCCGTTCCTGCCAAGCCCACGACTTCCAGCTCCTCGGTGGCTCCTGCGCCCCCGCCGCCGCCTCCTGCGCCGCCGGCCCCCACCACTGCTGCAGCGCCTTCCCCGTCGCCCTCGCCGCCTCCGCCTCCGGCCCAGGTTCAGATCGAGAACAAGCCCGAGGCCGTCAAGGCTCCTGAGCCCAAGTCCTCGGCGCCTGCACCTCCACCTCCACCTCCGCCTCCGCCTCCACCTGCATCTGCCCCTACGCCCGCGACGCCTACTCCCCAGCCTCCTGCCAAGCCTACCGAGCCCAACACGGGCAACTCCAACTCGGGTAGCTCCAGCCCGGCTCCTGCTACTGGCGGCAATAAGCGTGGTCTGTCATACAACGAGGCCTCTCTCACGGCTCCCTTCCTCGGTTCCGGCAACAAGCTCAGCTGGGCTTACAACTGGGGCCAGCGCCCCGACGGCCTGAGCGCCGCCGGCATTGACTACGTGCCCATGCTCTGGGGACCCATCGACATGCACACCAACACCTGGAAGAAGAATGCCGAGGACGCCCTCAACAAGGGCGCCAAGTCTCTGCTCTCGTTCAACGAGTGCGACTTCCCTTCGCAGTGCAACAAGTCCCCGGCCGAGGCTGCTGCCGCACACATTCAGTGGATGAACCCCTACGCTAGTCGCGCTTCCATCTCGTCGCCTTCCATCACCAACAGTAACATTGCCGGCCAGGGTCTCGACTGGCTCCGCGCCTGGGTCCAGGCCTGCAACGGCCAGTGCAAGTTCGACTTTTGTGCTGCCCACTGGTACTCGCCGCCCAACCCGGCCGACCTGCTCGGCCACCTCGACAAGGTACACGAGATCTGCCAGGGCAAGCCCGTGTGGCTTACCGAGTTCGCACCCATCAGCGGCGACAAGGCCAAGTTCCTCGCCGACGTCATGAAGGAGCTCGATACCAACCCCAAGTACAGCTACGTTCAGCGCTACGCCTACTTTATGGTCGGCGTGGGCGACGACAAGCTCATGTCGAGCGCCTCGGCCCTCAACACGGTCGGCCAGACCTTTGCCTACCAGTAAAGGGGCTCCTCTTCATTTCTTCAAGACCCGTTTTACCAACTCTTCTCGCATTCGTTGTACTACCACCACTAGGGATACTGGGATTTTTTTCTTTTTTCAAACGAACATGACGGCAATTCAGGATGTAAGGAGGGGCATCTGGGAGGCAGACAAAAATATCCACCACGGGTTTTACGACTTCTCTTCATCTTGTACATATTCACCCAGGAAGTGACGATTTACTTCCCGATACCCTTTGCGTCCTTTGGACCACTCTCCAGACGGATCTTCTTTGGTTGGAAGTTCGGTTCAGCCTGCGTTGCATTATCGACCAATTGAAGATTTGAGAGCAAAATGCCGATTCCTTCTTCCAACGTGATTAGCTGTCTAAGTAAGGGTGGCTTCATCTACTGAGTCTTATTGACGGCTTTAGCCGTTCCACACATTGCACATGAGCCGATGCATGTCATGTTGCATCAGACGGCTATCGGGACCTTGCATAGCGGTTGCAGGAGCCCGATTGGAGCGAATGGCAGGGCAATCACGATATCCCAAGCAATGTCCGAGATGAGAGCGACACTTTTCGCAGAACAACTTGGTACCAACGGTGCCGCGTGATTCGTCGCGCCAGAGAAGTATCTTTTTTTTTTTCATTTTGCTTCCATGCCCGAAACACTTGCCTGCCTCTCCTCTTCCATGCCGCTTCTCCTTACAGCCTTTCCCTTTCCGAATGATGCAGAGCGACATGCACTTCCTTTCCCCCTTTCGTGCCGGGAGCCGGAGCCGCAAGTACTCAAAAGCGCAAGTCCTTCGTTGCAGGCAGCCTTCCTTGTCTTTGAATGGGTGGATATATGTATCTGGGGTACACATGAGAATAGGTAGACAAGTCTGATGTAAAAATAAGAAAGAAAAGAGAGGATAAACGAATGAGCCCTCGGGAGGGGCAACCCCTTCCGAATCGGGGAAGGGTGCGGGAAAAGGAACAAGGTCGTGATCCAGAACATGACCAGGGCGGGGAAGAGGACTAAAGAGAAGATGGGATGGACAGGAGAAAGTGATGAGCTTCCGGCGCGCGGGGAGGGCTTCTTGAGCGGTCAGTGATGGAGGAAATGGGGGCCGAAAAAGAAAAAAAAAACGTACACTCGCTATTACAGGACGTGAACTACACCCAGCCCGGCTCCCCGTTGAGCGACAGGAGCACCGACAGATCGATGCCGCAGCTGCCGAGGATGAGGGACGAGCCGGCAAAGGTCTTGGCCGCCATGGCGCGGAGCGAGCTCGCCTGCATCCCGGCGGCGATTCGGAAGGAATACAAGCCTGTTCGTTTTTGGTCAGCCGCTTGACAAAACTCGACCAAAGACATATATAGTAACGGGGGNGGGG